CCCCCTTACAGTATCGTAACGCAAGTAACCCAGTAGCCCACTTTGATTCGACGGCGGAAGAAATCCTCGAAGCCTGCGACGGTGAGAACTTATCGTGGGTGGTTGGCGAGTGCTCTGGTGTGGTGGCTCCCTCTTTCCTATCAAACACGTATCATCCTTATCTCCCCCGCCTTCTTTTTTGTGTTTGTTACTCTCTTGTAACACCCCCTATTCTTTGGCACTTTTAGGACCTTATTGTGTTGCTTTGCAAGTGTTGTAAAACCCTTGCTAGAACAACGAATTTGTCAGACGAAATTAAAGTTTGATAAAAGAAGCGAAAAAGAAATGGATAAAAGAGCTTTTTTTTCCCCTTGTAGCATTAAATTTTATATTTAAACTAGCTGGGCCCCTGTTCGATGAAAGGAATGATCGGTGCATTAACGTCAACTGAAAGTCATTGGCCTACTATATTTACACTCTACTGGAATGGAGCAATAAATCTTGAGAGAAAAGTGACACATGTGTTTCCAAGTTGCCGAATATATAATAGATGTATAGATTGATTCTCTACTCTGCTTTCGTGGTTGTACACTCCATAATTTCAAAGGTGTGGAATCTGTTCTGGTGCACGGCTGTTGAACGGAAACCGCACTTCCGGTTTTTTAAAATGAGACTGCGAAATTGTTGATCATAAGTTAGCCCAGGCCTATAACTCTGTGTGGGCGAAACAAAGCATTTTGGAAAAATCGGGGAAAGCAGTTTGCATGGATTTTTTAAAGTTAAGTCCTAGACACATGGATGGTGTGGGTTAGGTAATAAGGGAGGAGTTTGTGCACTAAGCCTCCCAAGTCCACTTTTATATATATAGATACTCTTCATATGTGTGTGAGTGGGGGATTTAGGTGATGAGAAATAGGACAGTTACTTATCTCAAAGTCTCCTGACAAATTAGCCATAATGTCACTTTTTTTCAATGAACTTTTTAAAGGTTTTTATAAACGTAATATTTCCGGCCTTTGTGTAGATTTGTTGTATTATGTTTTGTCTGTCTTTACATGTGTTGTTTGGACATTTTTGTTTGTTGTTTGGACATTTTTGTTCATCTTCTCATGTGTTGTTTGATCATGTTGTCTGTCTCCTCATGTGTGTTTGGTCAGTTTAGTCTGTCTTGTCTGTCTTCTAAGGTGTTGTGTGGTCATTTTGTCTGTCTTCTCATGTGTTGTTTTGTCATTTTGTCTGTATTTTCATGTGTTGTTTGGTCATTTAGCCTGTCTTCTCATTTATTGTGTGGCCTTTTTTTTTGTTTGTCTTTTCATGCGTTGTTTGGTCATTTAGTCTGTCTTCTCAATGGTTCTTTTGGTCGTTTTTGTCTGTCTTCTCATGTGGTGTCTGGTGTTGTTATTGCAGGAAAACTTGACGCTCTGGTCTCGTCCGCTGGGACTGGTGGGACTATTGCTGGTCTGTCTCGCAAGATTAAGATGAAATGCCCAGAGTGTAAGGTTAGTGTTCTACAGATTGGGATTTTGTTTTAATTAATTTTTTTTAGGAAAGGATTTAAGAAACGAAAACTTCAATTTTCACTTTGTCAAAGTTTAGGTTTGGGGAAAAGCGAGTAAATTAGTTCTTGCGGTCTTGCTTCAACAAAACGATGTAACCGGACTCAGTATAAATTTCATAATTTAAACTAAATTGGAATATTGCTTTCAAATAAAAAGCTGCGCATTCAGAAATTTATGGATTATGCTCTTGGCCTGTATATGATAAGACAGCTATGCTGATTTGTTTTCACATGTTTGGTGAATGTAATTTTTTCCGTCAAAATTTATATTTCTCATCACCATCGCCATTTCTAACCCTTCTAATGCATACTTATGTTCAAAATCAATCCTTGTTTCATATATTGGGATGTATTCCTCATTCAATTTCCTTTAATTTGATATATCATATGTTACGTTTTGAGAGATGGTTATGCTTCTATGAAGTTATTTTGTACACCACCTGCATAGCCAAATCGAGCTGCAAGTTAATTATGTCTAGGCCCCCAAAAAACTATGTCCGGAAAGAGTTAAAAGAGGGTTGGATTTATTTGAATGTAGACTTTACAAAGGTTGCTGTTCATTTGTACACTTACATCTTGTGGTCCAACTGCTTGGGGAAGCTTTTCTTATAGCATGGACAGTCTACTTAATGCCTCAAGACTGTTGTTCATGGGTCTATAATTCTAGGTAACCAATCGCTTTGAGGAACATTTCTTACAGTGGCCAGTCTTAACGTTTCTCATCTTTTTGGGGTTTTTCAGATTTTCGAAACTTGCGTCTGTGATGTAGCGGATAGGTGCTTGTCCGTCACTTACAGAAGACCTGAGTTTGACTCCTGTAGTATGGGAAGATCTTTTATCAGTATCTCAGTCTTTCTGCTTGGGTGTTGTGTCCCTCTCAGCACGGGTTGGCCATGATAGGCTGGGTCAAATCCCGTCTCTACATGGTCTAAAGATAAGATAAGATAGATGATGATAAGATGATATTTTGTTGTCCCAGAGGGAAATTTCTTTTTGGCTTTACAGGAGCCGTAAAAACACATGCAGGTATACATAGAAATTAAATTATATATTACTCCATGTCATCTCAATAATTATTTTCATAAACACCATCTCACACCATCATATCTAAAAACATCTTTGCTCTCAGATGCTTGGCATAGATATATTTTTATTTTGAATATCTGTCTGTAACAGTTACATGTTATAATAATTATGTACGTAATATACTATTGGACTCTATCATAAACACATTTTTCTACTAATCAGATGTCGTCAATTTCATAGAAATGGGCAAGGGACAAAACAAATATTTAAAAAACAATTATAATAATTATATATTACTCTCATTTAAATTCAGTATGAAGAGAAAAGTAAAGCTAGACGTCAATGCACATATCACTTCAGATGCCTCTTTCAACCATCATGTGAATGGAGGCATAGAACATTTGTGTTATGAGGCAATGGAATCAGACGCTCGTCAAGTTTTGGGGATATAGAGTTAATAGTTTCATCTCAAAGCTTGTTAATATTTCTATATTCTGATGAAAAGAAAATCCATCTATCTTGAATAGAAGTTGAGATATTTGTGATTGAAAGGGGTGGGGATCACATGGTTTGAGAGGTAAAATTAGCGAGAAAATGGCTGCCAAAGTTTGCTGACTTCCAAAAAATTGAGAGTCCTTGGAAGCTGAAAATTTACATTTTTTATGCTTTTAATCAATGTTTTTCAGTAAAATCCGCGCAGAAATTAGTTTGTAACTGGACATGAAAGGTGTTGAGCCTAAAAAACAAAAATTCGATAAAAATTGTCAAACAGGTGGGAAAATGTTGATATCTACAATTTAATAATTTTGACGAGAGCCTGATGTTACCACGATGCCTCACAATTTCTTTTCTCAGATTGTGGGTGTTGACCCCGAGGGTTCCTTGTTGGCAGTGCCTGACAGCATGAACAAGTCGGACGTCTCCTTCTACGAGGTGGAGGGCATCGGCTACGACTTCGTGCCCACCGTATTGAGCAGAGACGTGAGTGACTCTGATTGCTTTCATCATCATCATCATCATCATCATCATCATCATCATCATCATCATCATCATCATCATCATCAATGCCTTCCATTCCATCCCTGGAAGAGTACAGGCCACATACAAGCTCCTTTCATTTTTCTCTGTCCTGGGCCATCCTTACAAGCTCTTTCCAAGTGAGCTTCATCTCTCTCATGTCCCTTTTCACACATCTGCTCCATGTTTCCCGTGGCCTACCCCTACCTCGTGCTCCCTGTGGGTTCCCTGCAGCAACTGTCTTGTTATCTTTTCGCTGGGCTTTTTGAGGGTGTGTCCCATCCATCGCCACTTTCTTAGTCCTATTTCTACTTCTATATCTTTTTGTCCTGTCCTTTCCCACAGCTCTTCATTTCTTGTTTTATCCTGTCATCTGACTGGTTTACTGTTACTTGCTTGGCTTACTTGGTTGGAGAATATGTATCATCGTAGGCGTTACAATGCCATAGCTGTTTGCCCTCCTCTCCAGGGTCCATAAAAGCATTGGTTTGCAGATCGTGCCAGTTATCAGGTGGTTGGATATTCTTCTGGCTTTTCCACACAGGTTGTTGTCTCTCACCGACCCTCTCGAGATACCGGCTTCCCTCAGTCTTTCCATTGTGTGTGATGTGGAGCCTTCATCTTCTTTGTGGTTGTAAAACCACGCTGTCAATGCTTTACTCATTACGCACACAGATGCTTATTTATTCTTGCCCTTTTGTTTCTGTTTCTCATGGATATTTCTTTACTCACCCTCTGTCGTTTCTATTTCTCACACGTACTTCTTTTCTTTCCCTCTGTTGTTTCTGTTTCTTATCCTTATTTTTTCCTTGCACAAAATGATGACTGTTATGTCGATATGCTCTCGGACTTCCTATCTTTCTTTTCCCCTTGGGATTCCGTTTAAAGTTTAAAGCATTGTTGTTTCCGTTTCTCATCTTTGTTTTTTTCTAGCGCTAAATGATGATTATTATGTCGATGTGATCTCGGCCTTCCTCTCTTTCGTTTCCCCTGGGGGTCCCTTTTGAGGCTTTGTCTTGTTGTATTGTGGGCTGGCTTCTATCTGGAATTGTGACAGTAAGAGGATAAAATACTTTTTGCTACTTATTGTAGTAAGAGTCCAATTGAGGAAAAGTTTGTGAGCTTAATGTTTATACAGGAAAGAGAAATTAAAAATGTGTAGCATCTTGTGAAATCAGACACTCCTCAAAATGATAATAATAATAATAATAATAATAATAATAATAATAAATAACAAATGACAATCATATGGCACTCAAGCCCGATTAAATTACTCAGGCTCTGAACGCTTTGCAATACAAAACAACAGTAACATAAAACATCATGTTCTGACCAAAAGAAAACCTCTCTTAATAATTATATGAGACTGAAGAAGGGTCAACGCTGTGTGGTCGGTCATCTTATTAATTTAAAAACGGAAATAATTTCAGCTTACATTTGAAATCAAAGCAACTGACTTTTTTATGCCCATTGAGCAAATTCTATCCAATTTTTTTTTATCAGCTTAGCACTGTTAATGTGTATGTAAAACTCCTTTCTGTGTAGATTTTGCTGGAAAATGTTGATCAAAGGCCCCCCAAAAAATGTAAATTCAAGTTTTCCAATGACAGTCAAGCTTTGGAAGTCTCCACACACACCCAACAACACACTCACACACACACACACACACACACACACACACACACACACACACACACACACACACACACACACACACACACACACACACACACACAAACAAACAAGCACACACACTCTCTCTCTCTCTCTCTCTCTCTCTCTCTCTCTCTCTCTCTCTCTCTCTCTCTCTCTCTCTCTCTCTCAAACATACACATGATTTCAATATCTCCAACACACAGCTCGCTCTGACGTTGTGTCCTTGGGAAAGGCACTTTACACGAAATTCCCATCTGGCTCGGTCCATACGGAGATGGACATTACCAACTCGGAGGTCCCGCCTCTTAAATAATCTATAGTGTTAGTGTTAAACCATACCATTTCATCATTTTTTTCTCACGTTTCTGTGTGTTTGTTTTCCACCCCCAGCTGGTAGACAAATGGTACAAGAGCTCGGACAAGGAATCTTTTGTCATGTCTCGCAGGCTCATCAGGGAGGAAGGACTCCTTTGCGGTGAGAGAAATATGAATGAGTGGGTGGTTAGCAGGTGTTCTGGTGTGGTTTGCTTCCTTCTTTTCTACCAAACATATATCGTCCTTTTCTCTCCTCCTCCTTTTTTGTGTTTGTTACTCTATTGTAACACCTCTAATCTTTTGCACTTGTATGACCTGATTGTGTTGCACGTGTCGTAAAATGTTTATAAAAACTAAAACTCCCTTTTGGCTTCCTCCTGTGGCAGATTGACATTGAAACATTAGAGTGTTGAAAGGCGTATTAAAACCCATGCCATTTCAGATCAGTGATGCCCAGATTGTGTCAACAGCACAGTAAAAGCATATACTCCAACTCAGATCACTATCTTAAGTGGCATCATGCTAGGCTTTTTGTCTTGTAATAATATAGTGTAAAACGCATAGAACCTGCTGTTGAGCGGGGATATGCGCTATACAAATGCTATTTATTGTACTCAAAAGGCTGGGGTTCCGTTCTCATTTGGGGAAGTTTATTACTTGGCAAAGAAATGCTATGCTTGCTATGGTCAAACTGACTTTCAAAATTTGAAATTCCATTTTCTCCTCTTTCTTTAACCCCTTCCTGACCTATGTGACGTATGCCGTTCGTCATGTTTTCTTATATGTCGAAGGAGCCAAGATTCTGCTCTGACGTACGGCGAAGCGTGAGGACCATGATGACAAATGCTGTTTGCCATAGGCTGTGTTGTGCATACTGCTTCTATTAGATGCAGTTCATAAAACTAATTGCAGATTCCACTTCAGCTATTTTTTATCCATATAAAAAAATCTTTTCATTTTAGAGATAGTAGTGTTTACAAACTAGGTCTAATTATAAGAATGGACCTCTAAATCTAGCACTTCTCTTTGTCCCTGGGGATCCAAACCTCTGCCTGGTGAAGCACAGATGGACCCTGTGTCACGAGGGGGTAAATTGTGACTTGTCTGGGTTTTTCTACTGGAATCTTCTTTTCATTATCATCATCAAGTGCTAGATCTGCTGCAGACATCGGCAATCATGGTTCTCCATTCATTCTTTTGCTCGGATGCTCTTAAAAAAGCTACGTTACCCTGATCCTTCCCCGTTACCCATCTGTTTTGGTTCTCTAAATAAGTTGCTTTGGGCTTACCCCTGCCTCGCTTGTCTTCAGTTTTGCCAGTGAGAGCTAGATATTTGACGTTCAAGACCTTTATGTTTATTCAGATGTCCCAAAAACTGCATTTGTCTTTCCCTGATTGTTTTTATCTCCACTTACAATTGTACAACTCTCCCTTTCTGTAGGTGGCAGCAGTGGCTCAGCGATGTACTGTGCCATCAAGGCCATCAAGGACCTGGGTCTGAAGAAGGGTCAACGTTGTGTGGTCATTCTGCCAGACTCTGTCCGAAACTATATGTGAGTAGTGTGGACATTCTACCCCCCGGGCGGTACTACTGACTGAAGTGTCTTTAGGCCATTCCCAAAGGGGGGACATTGACTTGTTCTTATGCACAGTAGAATTGTAAATGGGCTGATTCATCAATGTCATGCTCATAACTGTGCCTCAACTACAACAGGGAACTGCTGCTTTTTCTTTTGTAATCCTTACTATTGTCATTTTTCTTCTACTTCTTTCGTATGTTTGTCATACTCTAGTGACCCGCTATTTCCTTGATTGTCAAAGCAGACTTTGTGCTGTTGAAGCTAGAGAGGTGAGCAGAGTAAGATTCCCTGTAAGGACTTCTCTGTTGCATTCCACCCCTTGGTGCTCATATGACCTTATGCAGATGTGAGCGCTGTAAAACTTCTACTAAAACTAACTAAAAACTGTGTGTACATATGTGTGTGTGTGTGTGTGTGTGTGTGTGTGCTTGCGTACGTACGTACGTGCGGGTGGGCGGGTGGGGAAGGGAGTCTACCAGCTTCTGATTATTCTTGTATGTATTTTGTACGGTGTTACATTCTATAAAGTGGATGTTTGGAAGGCACTACTGGTATGTCCTCAAAGAATTCGTAGCCCCCATTTTGTCTGTACTGCTTTTTTTTCCGCTCTGAAAGCGTGTTGTGGATTTTTGTTGTTGTTTTTTTTTTCTCTAACATACATAGCAATTTCATTTTTAAGATGTAGGTAGTTGATGAGTGTGGTGATGTGTTTTTTTTTTCTTTTTTTCCCGTCAAATATCTGTTGTCCTCATCTCTCCTTCACATGCGTTTGGAGGGCGCCACTGGTAGGTCCTACTTCTTTACTTTCCCTCTGTTGTTTCTGTCTGTCTGTCTCACTGTTTTCCAGCACTAAATGACCATTACAGTGTCGATGTGCTTCTCTTTACTCTAACGAACAAACAAACCAATAGAAATGCTGATACAACAGCAATAGATGTAGAGGAGGGATAGTCGTAGGAAAGGTGACACGGTCTGGAGAAATGAGCTCAGATTTAGAATTCTTGTTACTCTCTAATATCTATTCGATCTGCAAGTGTCGTAAAGTTCTTACTAAAACTGAAATAATAAACATAAAAGTTTGATATTTTAAACTGGCAAAGCAAAGTTTTTATGGTGCTTTCCTCTAACCGTCCAGGTCAAAGTTCCTGAGTGACGATTGGATGAGTCAGCGCGACTTTCTCGAGGCAAACGGAGAGGCAGAGAACAACGGAGAATGGTGAGTTTTGCTTCAAGTTACTTTTTCAAACCCAAACCAGACTACTTTTCTCTCTCATATATGTATAATATGTGTCAGGCGCTCGTTAATTTCTGGGTTAATGGAGTTATTGGTGTAATCTAAAAGCCTGTTTATTTGTCTTGCGTTTGATTTAAAAATAGCCGTCTATCCTGAAAATAAGTTGAGATATTTGTGATTGAAGGAGGTGGGGGTCGCCTTGTTTCAGAGGTAAAATTAGCAAGAAACTGTCCTCCAAAGTTTTGTAACTTCAATAGTTTGAGAATGCTTGAAAACTGAAAATCTGCATATTTTGTCCCATTTATCAACTTTTCCTAGTAAAATTCACTTGGAAATGTTTTTAATATAGACATGAAAAGTGTTGAGCAAAAAAATTAAAAATTAAATAAAAAATTGTCAAACTGAATGTAAAATGCCTGTATTTTGGACTTCATTATTTTGACGAGCGCCTGATTTGACCATGATGCGTCACTAATGTATTTACTTAAAAGCAAAAAAAGCAAATCAGTGAGTGGTGTTTCGATGGGCTGTCTCTGATGTGTGTCCTTGAACAAGACACGATAACCTGAGCTAAAAAACTAGGGCATTGCCTAGACGGTAGAGATCAACAACAATAGCGTGTTTACTGTATATCTGTCATGTATGTATATCTATATATACTGTGTACGGGAATCAATATAATGGAATTATTTTTTTGTGAACAGCTTCAAGTCGAAATGCGACAAATGCAAGAACAATTAGTGCTTCCTCCTGATTTTGCTCCCCCGTGTGAAATAGAGTCAATTAGAGTTTGGCATTTTATCTGCTGTCGCTATCTTATTCTTACTGACCCTGTTGACATTTGACGTGTTGTTTCACATTTGTCTCTTCCTCCTTTGTCCATCTTTCTATGAAGTCTGTTGATATTTGTTGTATTGTTCCTAGTTTTGCTCTTCCTTTTTTTTCCTTCTCTTCGTCTCCTCCTCTTCCTTCTCCTCTTCCTCCTTCTCCTCTTCCTTCTTCTCCTCTTCCCTTTCTTTTTTGTCCTCTTCCTCCTTTTCCTCATTTTCACCTCATCTTCCTCCTCCTCCTTGTTGTCTTCTTATGTCCTCCTCTTCCTCATCTTCCTCCTCTTCTTTGTCTTCTTCCTTCTCCCCCTCCTCCTCTTCCTTCTCCTCCTCCTCGTCCTATTCTTTTTTCTTCTTGTCCTTCTCCTCATGTTGTTGTTCTTTCCATAGTCCCTCTTCTTTTTTTCTCTTGTATCTCTTCTTTCTTTTTTCTTTTCTTTTATTTGTCTTAAAATTTTCCTTCCTCTTTTCCTCTTCCAATTTTCTCTTCTTTCTTCTCTCTTTTTCCTTAACATGCTCCTTCTGTCTTTCAAAGCATTTTTCTCTTTGATTTTTTATTTTAGATGTAATTCTCCCCCCCCCCCTCCCACATCTTTCTCTTTCTTTTTTTCTCCACCCAATATTTCTGTCCTTTCATCGTTCCTCTTAGAATTATTTGCTCTTTGCTCCTCACACTTGTTATCCAGTTTTTGTTCAACTGTTCTGTTCTCATTCCTCCTACATACTCGTTTTCTTGTTTTTCTGATACGACTTTCTTGTCACTATTGCTGTCATGTACGCTTGTGAGTTTCAGGAGGAGGGGGAGGGGGGGGGAAGCATTTCTTATTTTTGTATCACGTAATATTTTTAACACTATCCTAATTGCTGCTTCTAATGATGCTATACTTTAAAAAATACTTAGAAAAATAAGTGGTTTTTAAATTTAAATTTTTAAAAATTAATTTAAAGTTTGGTATATGCATGCCCACAGAACAGGTCTCTTAACTTTTGTATGTCAAATCAAAATGTTATTTTGTTGATGGAAAACAGTGCTATCAGTGCATGTAATATACTTACTTCACAATCAGGTGAAAAACTTCAAAATCGGCAACTATGACATAACAACCTGGCAAAGGACAGTAAGATAAAAATGACATGGAAATAGATCAAATGAAATATGTCACATATTTGATATGGATTAAGATAAGGTGCAGAATGATTATGTATATTGTGATGCTTGTGTCTAAAGACACATTTAGCTGAATCTTATTTTACAGCTAGTTTATTTCTTCTTTCAAAGACAAGTGTGGTTAGCAATCGCAGTGATTGCTTGTTTATGTATGTGTTCCTTTGTCAGAAAATGCTAAATAGCACACTACAGGTGCATAATATGTATTTGAAAGGACAGCTGTATATTGAATGGGCCGATATGAAACTTGTCTCTGTGTTAGCTGTTGAAATTATATTTTGTTGGGAAGTGCCTAGAGCTACCAGGAAGTGGGCACTATTGAAATTATCTTTATTATTATTGTTATTATTATTACTATTACTATTATTATTATTATTATTGTTGTTGTTGTTGTCATTATTATCATCATTATTTAATTATATTGTTATTATTAATAGTTGTTTTTATTGTTAATATTATTACTGTTGTTGATTATTATTTGTATCATCTTGATCGTGATTATTATTATTTCTAAAATATATTATTATTATTATTGTTGCTATTGTTGTTATTATTATTATTGTTATTATTATCATCAGTGTAGAAAAATGATAATAACCTGGTGCATCCCAAACCTTTAATATCCTTCTAACTTTCCCCACATGCAAACAGTCGACGCGACTGGTAAGCCATCACTGTGTGAACACACCCTTAATGTCTCTCCCTTATGAGTTTTTGCTGTGATCTGATAGTAAAGTTCCTTTTCTTGTGCATGTCTAGATACAGTCAGCCCTTGTATTGCTCGCTGACTGTCCTGGTATTTATTTGACGAGAAATGTCTTAGTTTTATTGCTAGAGGTTTGAACGTTTGGTATCAACCCGGATGTTTGTATGCCTTTCGTTCTTAATTTGATTGGGGTTTTGTTGTGGTTTATTTTTTGTTCTTATATTTCGATTGTTTTTTTGTTTTGTTTTTGTTTTGCTTTTTACTTGGGTTGATTTTACGCAATTTTTAAAAAAATCATAGATGTAGCAATTAATTCTTTAAAGCTTTCAACTGTAATATGATGCAATGTCCCAATTTTTTTCTTTTTCTGTAAAGAAGTCTTTCTAGTTTGTTTGTTTGTTTTGCTTTATGTTTGTTTGTTTGTTTGTTTGTTTGTTTGTTGTGGTCTTTTGGGGATTTTTTTTTTTTGGGGGGGGGAGATTTTTAATAAAGTTTTTTTAGGGGTTTTTTTTTCGTTTTTTTGGGGGAGGGCTAAACCTTTCATTGTACGAAGATTGTGTCTTTACAAGATGGGTCATTCCTCTGTTTGAGAAAAAAAAACTCTTTTTAAAAAACAAAACAAACAAACATTATATTATAGGAACCAGTGGAAACTTTTATATAATATAATTGCGCGTGAATTGTTCTGGACACATTAAAAACGTTGGAGAGGGAATCACAGATCGGTAAAATGGGGCAATTCTTTCATTTGATTGGTTGGGAATGTCCATCTCCTTACTTTCAGTGATTATCCCTGCGCGCGATATATTTATTAGAGTAAGGCATTCCTTATGGAGGAGGCCAAAACAAATGATGGGAAGGAAAAAAAGGGGGAGGGGCTGATCAAGTTTCGCCTATGCGTGATAATTTCCCAACTGTTAATGTGGGTAGCTCAATTTATAAACTAACAACATCATAAACCTCAGGACCCCCCCCCCCCACACACACACACACACATAACGTTACTTGCCACGGGTTATAGTTTGTAGCTCAAGAAAATTGGAGTCGTATTGATATACATGTAACAAAATACTTTGTGATCCGGACAAAAGTTCACCAGCTGCTTTAGGACGCAATAGTTGGATATTTTGAACATATTGATACTTATGTAGGCCTATTATTGATACTGACGGAAGGCGAAATTGAGAAGACGTCAAGTTTTATTCTCATCAGTCTTTTTCAGTAATGACTCATTTACTTCATCTTAGGCGGTTTCGTCTCCCCCCCCCAAAAAAAAACCCACCAAAAAACGAAAGAAAGAAAAGAGTAAGAAAAAAAAAGTTTTCATTCAACGAAATCTTCAATTACTTGTTTTGTTTCGTTAAGGCTTTGTTGCTGTGACTGTACTATATAACATGTTATTATAATCTAATATTGTGCTTGACTAACTGCTGGGTGCTTGTAGGAGTATTGTGATGCATTTTCATGGTGCGGGTTAATTCAATTCACTTACTTTTTATGTTGTAGAAAGAGAGAGAGCGCGAGAGAGAGCGAGAGAGAGAGAGAGAGAGAGAGAGAGAGAGAGGGGGGGACAGACATAATCTATCTGTCATCTTTATCTCTCCTCCTCTTCCCTCGTCTTTTTCTTTGACTATCGAGTAACACTAATCCTCGACACTAATTGTTGTAATATGATCTATATTTGTTGCAAATGCGTGCGTTAACTCTTTACACGCAAAATTAGTTAATCACTTTTATACATATGATATATATATATATATATATATAGCTCATCCAACACAAAAACATCATAGTTCATGTGAATAACTCTTAGTTCTGTTGACATTGAGTGTTTAGACCTGATAGCCCTCTTACCTAATCACTTCCTTAGAATTACGAAATTCTGTCTACTCGGTACCTAGTTTTTGAGAAATTTGACGTCTAAAATTTTGAGTTTCACAATATTATGTCATGCTTTTAAAAAAAATGCAATTATTTGAATATCTTGATACCGACTCCGAATAATCTTACAATTTTGATAGAGCAGATAGAGAATTTACTTTCTGACTTCCTGGTCTTATTAACTCAAAATGGCCGAAAATGTCAGATAAAACTTTGTAATTCTGGGGTAGCGAAATGTACGAGGTAGAATACTATAATACGGTAGAAACTCTTAAATAAAACTTAAAACTCTGTGTGCAACGCAGAGTGGTATCTGTTGTCAAAGACCCTAAACTAAGGTATTACTATACTGACTCAACGTCTTTTTCTTTTGCTCGGCAGTTTCGAGATAAAAAAAGGCGTTTTTTCAGCCTAACCATTTTAAAAAAAGGCATTCTTCCGAAATTTGAATTCTAATTTATTAAAAAACTAGTCACAGTTTCACGGTTTTTTTCTTCTTGACAAAAGTAGGGTAACTAATCAGGCTATTGGTTTAGCAATTTTTTTTTAAATGGCTCAAATTTTTTTTAAAAAGACGTTTTGTCAGCTTAGGGCAGTATGGGATCGTTGCTGTGGTGTAGCGGTTTATATGCACTTCGACGTCGCATGCAGAAGGCCCGTGTACTATTCCCGTGTGTGGAAAACTTTATCGAGTACTTAGTATCGGTCTTTTTGCCGGGACGTTACGTTGTGTCACTCTCAGTCCGCGTTGGCACTTACAGGCAGGGTTGAAACTGAAACCCAGATCCCCGTAAATGATTTAATATACACAGTATCGATGGGAGCGTTAAAACACTAATACCGGGTCCGGTGCCCATTGCGAATGGGATCGGGTCGGTTGGGTCGATCCCTCGACTCGTCGTCTGAAAGCAGTTAGATTGGTACAACCAAAGCGTGTCTATATATTATGCTCTTCTACTCTTTGCATTCGTTGGCATGTTAAAACCGCCTCACATTAATGATTAGTGAAGGGTGCTGACAAAATGAGTAACTTCTCAGATTTGAGCCCTATGAAAATCGCTACATCACGCTTATAGGTGAAGTTTTTACAATTTATAAGTAGGAAATAATTTTTTTTTAAAAAGCATGTTATACTTAAAGAATATGGCATCAATAGAAAATCTACTAACTACTAATTTGACCCTTATGTTAATTTTTGGCCAATATCTGCATTTGTGGATTGTGAGAAGTAACTTCTTTTGTCGGCACGCCTCACTTTACATCCTGGCATAGCATGCACGAACAGAGCATGGCTTCTCTGGCTTCCGATAAAACTCGAAGAGGTTATAAATAGTCCTATTTTATAACCTCTTTGATAAAACCAAAGATTCTCTACAAGAGTAGTAGAGAGTCTTTGATAAACCATGTATTTGTTTGAGTCGTGATCCCCCTTTATAACCGTACTTTCCTTCCGAATGTTTAACATTCCCTCGCCTCTTTATCAGTGTATGATCAAGCTTTGAGAAACATGGGCTGAGAGTAGATTATTATAACATTTTATTGGCTTATGTTGTTGTTGGATTTAAAAAACTATGATCAATTATATATATATATATATTTGTGCGTGCGTGTGTTTTGTTTACTCCTGTGAGTCTCCCACAGGGTGTGTGTGTCTGTCTGTCTGTCTGTCTGTCTGTCTGTGTGTGAGGGGGGGTTGAATTGATTGTTTTGTGAGATATCTTTCCAGCTTTTCCTTTTTATTTATCTCCATTATGATATTGGATAGTTGTAATCTTCATGGGGGTTTTTTTTGTTCTTTTTTCTTTGAGTGTTTTATATGTTTGTATGCTCTTCATTTATGTGTGGAGCTCATTCTTTCCGCTTTAGATTTACTTCTAGTGTTTGTTTTACTTCTATTGTTTGTTTTACTTCTATAGTGTTTGTTTTACTTCTATAGTGTTTGTTTTACTTCTAGTGTTTGTTTTACTTCTAGTGTTTGTTTTACTTCTATTGTGTTTGTTTTACTTCTAGTGTTTGTTTTACTTCTATAGTGTTTGTTTTACTTCTATAGTGTTTGTTTTACTTCTATAGTGTTTGTTTTACTTCTAGTGTTTGTTTTACTTCTAGTGTTTGTTTTACTTCTATAGTGTTTGTTTTACTTCTATAGTGTTTGTTTTACTTCTAGTGTTTGTTTTACTTCTATAGTGTTTGTTTTACTTCTAGTGTTTGTTTTACTTCTATAGTGTTTGTTTTACTTCTATAGTGTTTGTTTTACTTCTATAGTGTTTGTTTTACTTCTAGTGTTTGTTTTACTTCTATAGTGTTTGTTTTACTTCTATAGTGTTTGTTTTACTTCTAGTGTTTGTTTTACTTCTAGTGTTTGTTTTACTTCTATTGTGTTTGTTTTACTTCTAGTGTTTGTTTTACTTCTATAGTGTTTGTTTTACTTCTATAGTGTTTGTTTTACTTCTATAGTGTTTGTTTTACTTCTAGTGTTTGTTTTACTTCTATTGTTGATGTTCGTGGGATTTTTTGTTGTTGTGGGTGGTTGGCGGGTGCTCTAGTGTGGTTTGCTCCTTCTTTCCTCTTAAACATCTATCGTCCTTATCTCTCCTCCTTCTTTTTTACGTTTGTTGTTACTCTCTTGTAACACCTCTAATCTTCGGCATTTATATGACCTTATTGTGTTGCAAGTGCCGTAAAACTCTTTACTAAACTAAACTTTTTGTTGTTGTTTTTTAAAATTCACTGCTTCAAATTGTAACTCCTTATATCTCTACACATCTTCTTAGATCTAGATGGGTGCCGTGCAGTGCCATTGTTGTGGGCTTTGGTTCTGAACACTGGTTTAGTTTAGTTTGTTTATCGTAGGGTTTTTTTCTGCTCTAGGCTATTGCTCTGTTGACTTAATTTTTAGAAGTTCCTTAATGATTATTATTATTATTATTATTATTTTTCAAATATTTTATTTCTTTTTTAGGGAGGGGGGGGCGGGGGGGGGGTCTGTGGGGGTTTAGCTATAAGATTTCTTTGTCTTTTTCTTTTTTAAATTATTCTTTACAACTTTTGGAGGGTGTGTTTTGTGTTCTATGGTTTGTTTGTTTCTTTGGGGGGTTTTTTTTTGCTTTTTAAATAATATGTACAATTTGTGGGGCTTATTCTGCATGCCTGCAATATGTTTCTAAGCACGACTATTTTGTAGTCCCGCATTTAACCCCACTCCCCCATCTCTCCCTCTCTGCCTGTCTGTCTATCGATTGATCTATCTTATCTATATCTATCTACCTACCTATCTCTTTCTCCCCTCCATCCACCCATCACTGTCTGTCTGTCTGTCTGTCTGTCTGTCTGTCTGTCTGTCTGTCTGTCTGTCTGTCTGTCTGTCTGTCTGTCTGTCTGTCTGTTTGTCTGTCTGTCTCTGTCTCTGTCTGTCTGTCTGTCTCTCTGTCTGTCTGTCTGTCTCTCTGTCTGTCTGTCTGTCTGTCTGTCTGTCTGTCTGTCTGTCTGTCTGTCTGTCTGTCTGTCTCTCTGTGTCTCTGATCTCTCTCTCTCTCTCTCTCTCTCTCTCTCTCTCTCTCTCTCTCTCTCTCTCTCTCTCTCTCTCTCTCTCTCCCTCCCTCTCTCCCTCTCTCTCTCCCTCTCTTCGAGATGAGGTATCTTGAATACATGACGTCAGAATTTTTGCTGTAACATTTCAATGATGTATTATTGTGTGTCGGTGTCAATAATTAGTAAGATGACACGCTTTGCTTAAGTACACGTTCAGAATAATATGTGTGTTTCAATTTTGCTCTGTGCTTTATTGTATCACGTGGCAGTTTCGATTTATATTGTATTAATATGATATTGTAATGCTTTTATCGACTATTTGACTCATTTTTGTAATAGCTATATTATTTTTTTTAACATTGCCTTTTATATCATTGTCATGCTACAGTTATTGTCTTTATTATCATTGTCGTTTTTATTTATGATAATTGTTTATGTGATTATGTTCGGCTCTCATTCATACTCTTGTAAGTGGATGGTTGGCGGGTTCTGTACTGTGATCTACTCGTTCTTTCCTATCAAACATATATCGTCCTGGAACTATCTCTCCTTCTTTTCGTTTTATGTTACTCTCTGGTAACACCTCTAATCTGCGGCAACTGTTTCACCTGATTGTATTTCAAATGCCGTAAAACTCTTACTAGAGCTAAAACTACTCTCTTGTCAACCCTCTAATCTTAGGCACTTATATGACATTCTTGTGTTGCAATTAAGCGTCATAAAACTCTTTTCCAAAAACGGAACTCTAGTAACACCTCTAATCTTCATCACATATGTGACGTAACTGTGTTACAAGTGCTGTAAAACGCTCACTAAAACAAAACAATCGCGGTGTTAGATTGTTTGAGCGCGGAATCCAGCGTGCACAGTAATTGTACATCATGCATGATGTCTCCCCCCCTTCCCTCCCCTCCCTCCCCCCCAAAAAGCACACACCTCAATTATCTTTATTTGACAATATTATAGATTAACTATACATGTAATAGTATAATCTCACCTCCCCCCCCCCCCCCAAAAACAAAAAAACTCACTCTTTGGGCATTTTTTATTTGACAATTTACTTTTGTACATTGACATGTAATAAAAAGGTCTCTAATTCTCCCCCCCCCCCCTCCACCAAACACACACTCACACACAACTCGAGCATCTTTATTTTGCTTTATAATACATGAAATGGACACGGATGGGAAAAGATCTCCCCCTCCACCCCCCCCCCCCCCTTTTTTAGAGGCATAAAGCGAAAGGGGTCGTGAGACTTCGAAGAATTTAAAACACATCAAGACCCCCAGGAG